GAACCTACCACAGAGGGCCTCTGAAAGCCTCTGCCCTGCAGACTATCAAAGCAGATGCTGAGACTGATGGCCAACTGTCGGGCAGAGTGAATGGAATTTTATGTAAGAAGTGGGAAATAGTAAGAGCTGGAGAGGACAGGAACTCCACAAGGAGAGCAACAGAATAAGAAAATATGAACATAGGGAACTTCCCAGAGACTCATACTCCAACCAAGGACATCTCTTTCTTTAAGTTGGGAAATTTTTCTTCTATTATTTTCTTGAAGATATTTTCTGGACCTTGGAGCCTGGTATCTTCTTCATCAATTCCTATTATTCTTAAATTTTGTCTTTTCATGGCATCCTGATTTCTTGTATGTTTTCTGTTTGGGACTTTTCTGATCTTACTATTTCTTTCAGAGAAATATCAATTTCTGCAAGTGTATCTTCAGCACCAGAGATTCCCTCTTCCATCTCTTGTATTCTATTGGTGATGCTTACCTTTGTGGTTCCTGATCTTTTCTCTAAGTTCTCCAGCTCCAGGGTTTTCTCCATGTTTTCTTTATTGCTTCTAATTCTATTTTCATGCCTTGCACCATTTCCTTCATCTGTTTGAATGTGGATTCCTTTCTCTCTATGATGGTCTCTATTTTTTTGTTGGTTTCCTCTCTATATGCCACTAATTGTATCTCTATTTGTTTGGCTATATTTGCATATGTGTGTGTGTGTGTGTGTGTGTGTGTGTGTATGTGTGTGTGTTTTGACAGCTTTGTTCATTTCCTCTTTATTTACCTCCATTTGTGTGGCTATTTCTTTGAGAGATTTGTTCATTTCTTCTTTATGTGCTTCTAATAACTGGATAAGCATAGCTTTAAAATAATTTTCCTGTGTTTCCAATGAATTGAGTATCCATTGATTTTGGGGGCTGCTGGTGACTCCATGATGTCCTGATTTTTGTTGGATGTGTTCTTATGTTGACCTCTGGCCATTTGCTTATCTGTAACCTTCACTGTTTGTTCCTGGATTCTGCAGTTCAGACTAGTACCGTCTTTCTCTGGTGTCTGGAGAATTATTCAGGAAAATGAGAGAGGTCCAGTGGTTTGATAGTATGCATTGGTGATTCAGCTGTACCTAATGGAGAAAGATTTGCGGGTGCAGAAGGATAAATGCAAGTGAGCACGTGAGTGTGCATGTGTGTGGAAGTGTGTCTTGAAAGACAGGGAGTTAGAGAATTTAGATGCCTGAAGTGTAGGCAGGGGCACTGTCCAGGCACCAAAGGGATTGCAGGCGCTTGAGGTCTTCACAGGTGCAATTTGCTTGTGCAGATTCCCTAAATACCTCAGTGGCCTGCAGGACACTGGTATTCAGCTCTGTCTGAGCTCCAGGAGTTATTTGCCTGAACTCCACTGATAGACCCACAGAATAGGGCTTCAATGTTGAAAACCCTGTCCCTCTGTTTCCCACAGTGTGTGCCTGGGTTTGAGGGATCTGATTTCTCACTGCTAGCTTAGGACCCTAGATCTGGGGCTCTGCAGGGTCTTGAAGGCGCACTCACTCTCTAGCAGGTCAAATTGGAAAGCACAGGGGTTCTCCCTGTTCTCTACTCTCAGTTTTGGGCCTGCTGGTTTCAAACGCGGGTGTAGGAGCTCCTTTAGCTCAGTGGTGCTGCAGCCACCAATCTTGGGAGTCCAGGTGCAGTAGCAGAACTGGAAGGCCAGTCCAGGTGCCCGCTGGGAAGTCCTGGGGAGCCACAACAGTGGTCCACTGATCTAGGTGGCCTGGTGCCTTGTGTACCTGGGTGGTTTGGCAGGTGTCATGACTTTGGTGGCTGTACAGCCGGCTGTCTGCCACTGAGGGATTGGGCGGTCTGTACAGTCACTGGCTGGGAGGCCCTGAGGAGTCCGTACAGCTGCTCGAAGACCCAGGATTTGGAAGGATGGATGATACCATCGATCTGGAACTTGGAAGGCTGGTACAGCAGGCAGCCACGGCTCAGGAGCTAGGAGCCCTATCTCTGCTGTCTCAGTTTCCTGGCAGTGAGTTCTGTGCTAAGAGTCTCTAAGAGTCTTTTAGAGTCTCTGTGAGCTGGCTCCGCCGAGGAGGAGGCCCGAAATGGGAAAGTGCAAGCAGTTCGAATGTTCACCATTCTCTGCCCCCAGAGAAGTCCGCTGGTGACCTGAATCTAAATGGTCTCAGCTCATGTGATGTTCCCTCTCATTCAGGAAGTCTCAGTGTCAATTTTCTGGCTTCAGTTGCCCCTCAACTCACCCATTTCGGAGTTTCAGATCCTCTGCCTCTCAGATACGGTGAACACTGGTCACCACCATCTTGGATCCCCCCATACCCTCTTAACACTTCCTCCCCAACCTCTTGCCTCTCCATGCTCTCTTCTACTTGCTTGTCTTCTTTGGTGACCCAACGGGCTTAAGTGGCATTTTGATAAAGATTTTTTCTATCTCAAGATGTCATTGACTGACTTCCTGATCCTGCCTGCACCTCTCAAGTGCTGGGTTTCAAAGGAGTCTCCCTGGCTTAGCAGACACTCTTGTTTCCCCATCTGTACAATTGTGCCATTACCTCCTCTCTAGCTTCTGAGATTAAACACTGTGTACTGTGCCGATACCTGCACCAACCGTACTTTGTACATGTAGATTATATGAGAGAAGAGTTAAATATTGAGCTCCCTCAGAGATAACTTGCCAGCTCCCTAAAGTGATTAGTTAAAAAATCTGCAACTGACTTACCAGATTAACACTATCTTATTGGCAAAACTGTTCTTTTTATGTTAACCAGTTTTCAGTTGGCTAAGTGTGAAATTCAGGGTTAAAAACTCCACTTCAGCCCTAGGGAATTTGCTCAGTCCTCACTAAGAAAACAAATGGGATAGACATTAGAAGCAGGAGAAAACAGGGAACAGGACAAGAGCCTACCTCAGAAGGCCCCTGAAAGACTCTACCCAGCAGGGTATCAAAGCAGATGCTGAGACTCATAGCCAAACTTAGGGCAGAGTGCACAGAATCTAATGAAAGAAGGCAAAGATAGAAAGCTCTGGAGGGGACAGGAACTCCATAAGGAGAGCAACAGAACCAAGAAATCTTTTCTAAGACTGATACTACAACCAAGGACAATGCATGGAGATAACCTAGATATAGCCTGCACAGATGTAGCCCATGGGAGCCCAGTCTCCAAGTGGGTTCCCTAATAATGGGAACAGGGACTGTCTCTGACATGAACTCAGTGACTGGCTCTTTGATCACCTCCCTCTGATGGGGAAGCAGCCTTAACCAGCCCACATAGGAAGACAATGCAGCCAGTTCTCATGAGACCTGATAGGCTTGGGTCAGAGGGAAGGGGAGGAGGACCTCCCCTATTAGTGGACTTGGGGAGGGGCATGGGAAGAGAAGAGGAGAGGGAGGGTGGGATTGAGAGGGGATGAGGGAAAGGGCTACAGCTGAGATACAAAGTGAATCAATTGTAAACAAACAAACAAAAAAACTGCACTTCAGGAACTGAGATGCCATATGTTATATTTTAGCTCTGTGTTGCTATGTGATAATATAAAAATGTGACTTATATTTAATTATATTGACCATATAATAGAAAACATGTATGGCAGGTTTTAATTTTTTATTTTACAGGAAGAATCACTGTAAATATATTAACTACTTTAGGAGACTGGCTCATTAAGAATCAATTGGGGGACAGTGAGATAACCTAGATGATAAAGGTCTCATCACCAAGCCTGACCACCTGAGTTCAAGCTGCAGAATACACATGGTGCAAAGAGAGAATCAATTCCACAAGTTGTCCAGTGACTTCCCCATGTCATGTGACTACCCAACATAAATAGAAAGATTAACACATTAGTAGAGGATTTCAGTGACTGCACACTTGCCTATCATGCCCAAGGACCTGGGCTGGAGCATTTATAAGCAATTAAATTTATAACCAATTTTTAAATTTTTTTAGGGTAAGGATTGAAACATTTCTGGTATGCTTCTAAGGTACATACTCTATCATTCTCAATCAGTTTTGTTACAGTTCTAGAAAACCAAAGCTCAAGACATTAGGGCATACCAATTTCCCAGGGCAAAAACAAAACAAAACAACAACAACAACAAAAAAAAACCCCAAAAAACTAGTATACCTTGAAACATGGCTCTAAACTTTAATGGTACATAACCAGTCCTGACCTTACCTACCCAACGTACCTCGATTTCCTGGGAAATTATTCTCTTTTGAATATTAAGTGCCTCTGTAAATAAAACGTAGCTACATAAAGTATTTCCATGTTGTTTTCTCGAGACTTTTGAGACAAAAACATCTATTCAAACAGTCGTCCTTTCTCCCCAGCAAACTGGGTTCATTGTTAAATTGTCAGCATCTTGTTTTATTGATGTAAGCATATGGTCCAATGTAATTAAGGTAATTTTACAAACTCAGAATTTTCTAAGTACTTAAGCTTACCACTGACCTTGAAGCTAAACATTTTAGATTACTAACTTTTTAATGAATGGGATGAAAAACAGGCCTCAGCCAATGACTGGCACTGTTAATCTGAGTGAGACATGTCACTGAAATGTTTCTTCTGACACAGCAGTTATAAGTAAAAATCTTCAAAAAAACAAGGAAACATGTATGAAAAAGGTTCCACTGCCTGCCTCCTAGTCCTAAGCCTGAGAGAAACAAGACAGATAAATATTTTTGTAAACCAAATAGCCTTGTGTATAGTTTTCACAGATGCTGCTGAAGACCTTCTACTCTATTATACTTATCATCCTGGCTATGGTTGTACTAACTATGTTTATTGAGTTTTGGGCCCATCTAGTTCCAAAGGTAGAAGAACACACACACGCTGGCATGGTAGTTAGAGCATGACTACCTCCTGGCATGACAGGAGCAGACTGTAAAAGCAAAGCCTGGTTGTGCTGGAATAGCCCTGTGGGAAGTTCTCCTCCAGAAAGACAGAGCAGAACAGCCCTGCTTTATTAAGAGAGCAGTGAAAGAACAGTCCAACAGGCCAAGGCAGAATCACTGTTTATTCCAACTGCCCTTCCCCCGTTTTAAAGGTACACGGCATTATGAGAAATCCATAGTTATGTTTTTAAGAATCACGGTCTAGTGCTGCTCAACTTTTTCTTGCTTCTTATTTTGATGTGTTGTTCTTGCAGCCTGTGGTATCATATTAGGAATTCCATCAATGATTGGATACGCTATTCCCAACTCTTCATTAATCAGTTCATTTGTCGATGCTTCATATCTGGGAGAAAAGTGAATTATGGAAAATTAAAGCTTAGAAGGGTTTGATGCACAATAAATAGCACTATCCAATGTTTGAATCAGAGTTACTCTTCCAATAGCTTTCTTCTTGAACACATAGGTCAATCTACCATTTCTTTCAGAAAAATCATCTTATAATATGTAATTATTCCTATCGGATTTAGTATTTGTCTTTTTTTTTTATTCCCTATGTATGCCTTAACTTTTTCATACAAGTTAGAAAATACGTCTATGTTTCGTGACAGTATTTCTTTCTTGTTTTGGGCACCCCAAACCATTCTGAGAGGGGGAAAAAAAAGAGAGAACTTCCTATGTTGATGTAAATGCTAGATAGATTTATATGAGACAGCAGAAAGAAACCACTGAGAATGAAAACACGCAAAATAAAAGCCTGGAAGAGGAAAGACCACAAAGGAGGAACTCTGGAAAGGAGAGTCTACAGTGAGCTAGCTACACAATTAGCTAAACAGTAAAGCAAATGGTGATTGATGATTTCAGGAAACTGAATAATCTCTTCATATAGAGAAACTACTCTAGAAGGTGAAAATCAGAGTAAAAATCGCTAGTAATTTGCTACCTAAAGATAACCACATTTTTGCATTTATTAATTTCGTAATACTAATGGTGCCGATCATTATTCTCTTTCTGGAGTCTGGAACTGTGGATGTATTTTCCCCGAAACCAGCTGAAGGTTAAAATTTTAATAAAACCCAGGTAGGCCACAACTGAAAGCAAAGGACAGTGCAGTGAGATTAACACTGCCAGGCATCGAGTGTACCGGTTTAGCACTTCACAAGACTCTGGAAGCTACAATGATAATTTTGTCTTAAATAGTGAATTGTTCTGATTTTGTCCTGAGCATCTCTGGTTCATATACGTGGCAGTACACTGCAAACAAGAGACTTTTTAAAGACGATTGAAGGCAGGAGTGATGCTTTAACTCCCTTGAAGGGAGTTGAAGGAGGCTGAGGCAGGAAGAGTATCACAACTTGGAGGCTAGCCTGGGTTAGAGTTCCAGAAAGGAGCAAACCAAATAGGGAAACTTGTCTCACCAAACCAAACCAAACCAAACCACAACAAAAGCAAGGATGAAGAGAGAGGCTGGGAAGACTCGTAAGTCAAACTGCTTACCCTGTGAATACAAGAACCTGAGTGCTGATCATCAGTTAAATATGTAAACTCCTGAGAGTGAAGTCCCAGCTCTATTTGCTCCAGGTTCTCTTATCCCTTCCAGTGAGTGAAGAAGACAGTACAAGTTGACCTCCTTCGATGGCGCGCAACTACTCTCTCACACATACACACACGCAAAAAAAAAACAGAATGAAAAAAGAAAGGTCCAGACGCTGGCCCTGACATTGTGGTTCAACTGGCTCTGAAGACCAGACAGCGTGAGAAACCCCTCCAGGATTGATGGTAAAGAGCAGCCACTGGGGAGGCGGAGAAAAGTTCAGCTCGGGTCGTGGGCGGGACTGACCCCCAACAGGGGTGTGTCCTGGCGGGGTCGTATTCTTGGAGTGGGCTCAGGTCATGCCAGCTGTGGCCACAGGCCACCCCTTCCCCGGGGAAAGGCGGCTGGTGAGTTTTACCTAAGCGGCTTCTTGGAGAGCGGACACACTAAAAACTGCAGCAGCGCCGGGTGGAAGGTGCAGGGCTCCTCAGCCTTCTCGCTCTGGTCCGCGTAGGACCTGGCGCCGGGCACAAGGAGACATCTCCGGGTGACAGCAGCCGATGCGCGCGGCCTCCACAGCCCCTGGGCGAGCCTGCGGCACGTGGCGCTCAGCATGGCCGCTCAGACACCAACGAGACCCTGCTCCGAACTTCTCCACGGTTTCCCCGGCTTCTACCCGCCGGGTCACCCTGGCCCGTGGCGCCCCGCCCCTCTGTGCAAAGCTGAATGCAGCCCGGGAACCACCGGCGTTGGCTTTGTGGTTCCGGCAGCAGAACTGACGTTCCCGGGTCCAGAAACTGTAGACTAAACCAATCCTCATTTGGGTGTCCAGCTTTTCAGGAGGGTTAATCACAGAGGTGCCAAGAAGTAGACCCAACTGCAGTCACATAGCGCTTGGCTTCGACTTTCGTGGTTATCTTCAGAGTCTTCAAACAGACATATTGAATCTCTTAGAAGTAGCATCTTGTTTAATCTTAATCGTACAGTATCACAGTTTCTGTGGCCCTGTTTGGATGCCATCCCCAATAAAAAATTTAAGAATTGCTTTCCTCTTACTTTGTATACTGTGGAGGCTTTTACAACTTGAGAGTTGTTAGTTGTGAATACTATGACGAAGCACAGCTAATTCATACCTGTAAGTAAGCTGTTTGCAACCTATGGATCACGACCACTTTGGGAGTGGAACAGCCCTTTCACTGCTGTTGTCTAAGATCATCGGAAGAACGCAAATATTTCCGTTACAATTCACAATAATAACAAAATTACAGTTATGAAGTAGCAATGAAAATATGTGGTTGGGATTCACCCAAACCACAAGAAACTGTATTAAAGGGTCACAGCATTATGAAGATTGAGACCCACTTCTATAAGGCGGTCTGGTTAAGTAAACAGACAGCTGTCCCTTAGTCAAATGGTTTACTGGAATTATTCAGTGGGTTTTTGATCCCAACTGTACATGGAAGTAATTCCTGTTTGATTTTCCTTATGCAATAGTGAGGGAGAGAGAGCTTGTTACATATTTATAAGCCAGACAACCCAATTCCCTTCTTGGTACAATGAATAATTCAGTATCCTTATTGGAATAATAAGATTAATAATTGTCCACATTATAAACTGGAAGTTGGGGTGGGCCAGGGGAGAGGAATTTACCTACCTAAGATAGTACAAGGCTAGCTTGGTGTGTGGTGCCCACCTTTAATCCCAGCACTCTGGAAGCAGAAGCTGGGAACTCTCTGAGTTTGAGGCCAGCCTGGGATACTGACTAAGTTCTAGGACACCCAGAGCTACACAGAGAAACCCTGTCTTAAGAAGCCCCCACCCCATCTACAAAGCTGACTGACATATTAGAACTCTCCATGACTGTAGAGACTTGGAATGTTACAGGGTCAGAGCCAGGTTATCTTCAGCTGTCTTTAGATGGTTTAAAAGCCATTTATTGCCTACCTCTGTGTCTGATCTATTGTTTTTGTGCAGACTCTTTATAATTCTTTTGGGAATGTACTCACAGCCCACTATCACCTAATGTGAAAGAGAATTCCTGGAAAGAAGCTGTGTCTGCCGAGACTGGTTGACTGTCTAGACCTTGGTGATGCGGAGAAGTTGGAAGATCACAAGTCCAGAGCCAATATGTACTGAAGCATCATTAGCCCCCGTAATAGACATCTATTACCCTCCTCTATACAGGACCTGACACCTTTGCCACCAATATGTAAATCCTTTGGAATATATGAACAGACCCCTAGTTTCTACCAATCATAAGGATGTTGTCAGATAGCAGGTAAGGCCTATAACTGCTTCCGAACTTTGCTGTAGCCTGCTTACCAGATGTACCCACTAATATATTTTATGACCTTTAAAAAAAACTATAAAAATTACTGAGGTTGAAGTAGAGGGACATAGGTAGACAGGAATAGTGAAAATGACTCCCTAAGATAGTGGCTTCTTGTTCCCAGACAAGAAAGGAAGGCATAAGGGGTATGTATCCAAACAGAAACAGAAGAGAAAAAGAGGAGGACCCAGGGACCTTATAAAACACCCAGTTGAGTGTCCCTTTAGCATATTCCCAGCTTTGGGGCTTCTCCCATCCCAAAGGGAGCTGTTTGCAAAAAAAAAGCTGTTACTTTTGTTTTCTCCACAACTCAGTCTTGCCTTTTCCTGACATTCAATTCCTTGTCATTCCATGGAATAAACTCAGAGATTCCCTTGATGACTACCAGCACCCCATTACATCTCCTGGGGGTTCATCTGTGATTTGAGAAGACCTCTACTCAAGATAGGTATGCATTGGTAAAAATCAAAAAGGACTCAGAAGTGGCCATGGTCTTCTGGTACTCTGTGGGCCACTTCAGAGCGAGGGAACCCTTTGACCATGACTAACATGGTTTGAACCCCAAGTCAGCCCCCACCTCTACTAGAAATAAGGAGAGTAGGGGGGTCAGGCTCTGATAGACTAGCACGCTTTGATCTCCTATGGCTAAATGGAGATTTCTTCTTCAAAAACTAGGGCAGGACTTATATCGCCACTTAAGTCAAGTGACACTGCCAAGTTGGACTCCTCCAAAAGAACAAACATCTCTCCAGGGATAGAAGGTGGGAAAGGGAAGGTTTTTTCACTCAATACACCTGGGAAGGTCCATGGGGAAAGTCATCCCTCTGCTTGATTGCTTCACTCGAGGATGAATAGGTAAGTGTATACAACTGAAGACAGGCTGTCTAGGGGAATAGGGGAAGGAAAGACTCAATTTTCTCTGTTTCTTGAGATGCTATAGCACATAAGTGAAACCTGAAGTATTCTTGAAAATTCCTAATGTTCCAAAATAGAAAGTTTTGCCAATCTTGCTTTAAGTTGGAGGTGGGAAGTGCCTGAAATTCAAATGGAGGCAGCTAGGAGTGAGTTAATGTGTAGGAAAGCTTTCCTGGGTGCCTGCACTCCCGAGGGGCATTAGCTCTCTGTTGGGAACCCACAAGACTAACAAAAACTTGTCCTTGCTCTTCTTTAGAGCTCTGGAATGCTTCTCTACCTTGGAAATCAAGAGGCTACATATATAGCCATGTATTTCTGCCACCTGAGTCCTCTTTCTCTGGCTCCAACAAAACCCATATATTACAATCTGACTACTTAGCTCTCCTGGAGCGCTGTCTACCATATACTAAAAGACCTCAGAGAGTTTAGCCCACAGCTGTATGGTACCCCACTCCCCCCCCCCCCACCCCGGCTCCTGAATGTTTCCTTTGGAGGAGATGTTGGGAAAATTCAGACCTTCTTATGTTCACAGAGCCCTTTCATTAGCAAAGCCTAAATAACACAAGATTGCAGTTATCAAATCCTGTTCTAATATTGCCCACCCAGCACCTCTACCAAGGCAAACCATGACTGACTATTTCTAACAGCCCAAAGGTGCAATTAGGGAGCCCTCCTCATCCATGACTTTCCCTTTATGTCACCGAGAGACAGGAAACTTCCCTGGGAATTCTGGCTCAGCTAATAGAACCCATGCCACAACAATGAAATACCTTAGCAAGGAATTGAACTACTGCCTAAGGAATGGCCAGGACGCCTAAGAGCAAGTAAAGCCACAGAGTGCTCCTGGTCCCTGCAGCACATAAACTGATACTGGAAATCCCCTCATTGTATAGAACCCTCACAACATTGAGGAAATACTTAATTCTAAAAGATTCTCATGGCCGTTGGACAACTGAGTAGTGAAATATGAGGCTCTTCTAACAGAAGGGCTGGAGATGACATTTAAGGTCTGCCCCCATCTTACACTGCTGATGGGGAAAATCTTGAGCCTGTATGCCATGATGTCTTGCTAGAAACCTGTGCTTCTAGACATGACCTTAAAGACCAATCTATAGAAAACTTTATTCTCCAAATGTTTGCTGATGGGAATCCATCCACTCAGAATAGAATTAATAAGGCAGAAAATGAATGTTGTAACAAAGTATTAGACTCTCGAATCAAACACTTTCCATGTCAATATTGCTTTTCTAGTTCAGAGTTGCAGATTATATACTCCCCACCGAAACATGGTCATGTTCTCCACAGCAACAATCCACTCTTTGGTACCAACTTTTACATTAGTTTCTTTTATATTGCTGTGATAAATCAATGTGACAAAGGCAATTCATAAGAGGAAAAGTTGATTCGGGCTTACAGTTGCAGAGGAATAAGAGTCCATTATGGCAGGGAAGCAAGCAAATAAGCAGCTTTTCTACAAGTTTCCTTCTTCTGCTGCTGCTTTTCTACAAGTTTCCTGCTTCTGTTCCTGCTCTGATCTCCCTTTATGGTGGACTAAGATCCAGGCATGTAGCTAAATGAACCCTTTCCTCTCCATATTGATTTTGGCCATGGTGTTTGTCACAGAAATGGGAAGCAAACGGATACATATGTATATCTGGGGCTGCACACTCACACAGCTATCTGCAAAGAAAGGGATATTATTAACAATCACTGTGAACCCCATCAAATAGTCCAAGAAAATTCTAAATTTAATATAGGCAGTTCTGCTGCCTGCGTCACAGCTGAAGATATGGGACCCAAAGGCTTCTCTTACAAGGAAGCTGTCTATTATATTGTCAGGCTTCTAGCAGATTATTATCCAAATGCCAGAGCTCTGAAAGTTACAGGCATGATACTTTTACACATTTTGCTTCTTTGTCTTCTATATATGGCTGCATCCATTCTGCTTGAATGTTTTACGGTCTTAGATGGTAATGGCTAGAGTGATGAGAGAAAACCATTTTCTAAACAAACTGTCTGGGTTTCATACTTTTTAGATTTGGACTGGCAGGTGGGCAGCTTTTGTTTAGCTTGTGATCTCTTCTGTGATCTTTTTATCATTTATTGGCAACATGTAGTTATTTAGATGTTATTTATGGCCCCACGCTTATCAAAAGCCAATGATATGTTGAGGATATGATCACCCTCTTTCTTGTGGATCCTCTAGACTCCTTGATATTTTATTTGAAGGTGTATTGTGGATCAAAACATATGTATTGTTATTCTTTGCTGTTGTGGCATACAGACTACATGGTTTTATTATGTCTATCAATTTTAGAACACTTTCCCCATAAGAAAAAAGAGTATGGTGACATCTGTTCTAAGAGAGTGATGGATGCATGAATGATAGGACTCTGAAATTACAGAAAGGAAACACTCTTTGTTCATTCACAAGCCACTGTTGCTGGATAAGTCACTTCTTTCCTTTCCCATTGCAGCCACATCCTAGCTCTGGGTGTGACATGGTCATTAGACAGCAGATACCCAGACAGTGATAAACTAAATGATGACAGTTGGGGGTTGTTACATCTAAACAGCAACTACACAAGCTAGTAGGGTCTTTTTAATATTGAGGCAAACATATGCTTCCTTTAAACATTCTGAAGAGAAACCCCAGATATAGTAGCAGTATAAACTACATGCAATCTGAGGACTTTTCCCATGAGTCACAAAATAGAACACTGAGACCTGGTGCCAGCCAGAGGAAGAATTGCCTTCTAAAGACTTCACAGTTGTGTGGACTTGTCAGATCACCTTGCAGAAGATGGAGAAGCAGACAGTATGATGGACCAATGATTGGCCAGAGCATACCTGGACCTGGGCTGCTGAACAAGGCATATCTACAAGGTCTAGAGTTTAAACCAAAGCCTTGGGTCAGGATCTGAAGACAAGTGGAGCAGGTGTGTGTGTGTGTGTGTGTGTGTGTGTGTGTGTGTGTGTGTGTTGTGTTTGTCACTGGTTCTTAGTGTCTCCTCTCCATGTAGGTACATTGACTAAATCTTTTTCTGCTTTTCACTCTTGTCTCTCAATTGGATATGAAGGTTAGTGGCAGAGCCTAGCTAATTAGGGATTCCCGGAGAGAGGGTCCAAGTCTTCTAACCCTCACCTCCACTTTCATGATCATGTTCTGGTGGTTCGGGTTGCATATATAATAAAGGACACACACAAAAAACTAACCCCCTCCACTTTACTCTGTTCTGAGGCCAAAGGTGAGAATGAGTGAAGTCTTGGCTGCTTGATAGTGTTCTATCATGTCACCTTTGGCAGTATATTAACAGGTACCTTTCTTGAACTCAGGAAATCACATCCATTAAGCTGTTCTGTGATTCTTGGCTTTCTTGCCTATTAACCTGGTATCTCCACCAAGTACCAATGTTTATTAAATGAAAGAAAACTGAAACACAGTATTTCCTTTTAGGAAAAATCATTACACAAATTTGCTTCCAGGCAGTGCAAAAAACACAGAACCAGTAAAGGCTGTGAGTTTACATATTGTGATTATAGAAATTCAAGGATCTATTTGATTCCGTTCTCTTTGCCATCCATGTAATTCTGCTGGCCAGTTATGTTAATCTCGTGATCATGGTGTTCCTCTGGTCTATAAACTATTTAGATGATTAATAAGACTCTTCCATATTATTTCTCGTTACCAAATATGTGAATTTACTCAAAACAAAGAATGAAAATAAAACATTAACAAAAACAAAACAATGGCCTGTGGCTCCTCCTCCAAGCAACCCCCCTCCTAGTCGTGATGAATGGGAGGGACTGTATTCCCCCCCCCCCTCGGGAAGCTATCTTTTCAGTGTTTGGGCCGTTTTGGAATTCTTTTCTTTTCAAGAGATATTTTTAATCAAACAAAGCAGCTGCTGTCCCTGTGATTGGCGCGCGACCAGGGGCCGAGAAAAAAGACGGCGGCAGGGCTGGGCTAGCGAAAATGCTGTCAGTTTGATGATGGAGCGTCTGAAGATGCGCTTTTCCCTGGTCTGCGAACTGCTCACCCTTGAATGAACCCATCTTTCCAGGCTTTCCCTTCCGCAACGTGAGCATCTCGGACGTGCGGTTTTCCCTAGACCCTCTCGGAAGAACACGGCCACGGGGGTGGCGAGGGTAAGACGGTAAGGGAGCCTCTGCGGTTCGGTGGACCGTGCCGGCCGGCTGCGAGCCACTCTTGAAGGGCGTGACTGGCGAAGGCTGGAGGTTCGGCGTCTTCGCGCCAGGTGCTTCCAGATGTGCCAGCCACCGGCTACCGGGAAGGCTTCGCCGCTTAGCTTCGGCCCAAACGCTTTCCAGGAGGTTTGTCCCTGCCTGCGCGCCGTGCCCTGAGCTCTCAGGCAGGAAAAGCGCGCGGACATGGGCGAGACCATGTCAAAGAGACTCAAGTTGCACCTAGGAGAGGCGGAGATGGAGGAGCGGGCGTTCCCTAATCCCTTCCCAGACTATGAGGCCGCCGCCGCTGCCGCGGGGTTCGTCGCTGGAGCAGCGGAGGAGACAGGCCGCGTTTGCCCTCTCCCCACCACGGACGACCCGGGCCTCCCTTTCCACCCCAACGGGAAGGTGAGTTGGCTGCTAGGGCCCGGAGCAGCGGTTAGGTGGGTGAGGCCACCCCCGCCAGTGGTGGCGTCCGGCGGTCACGCCCTGGGTACGCTGACGTCATCGGCGTGCGTCCCGCCCGGTGTAGGTCCTGCCAAAGTCAGGGAAAAGGCGGCAGGGCTGTGCGATCGACCTCTGATAAGACACCGAAACACAATGGTGGAGCATTTTAATGTTTCCTGGGACTAAAAAGTGAATTTGCTGTTATCGCTGTTAGTTAGGCAGATTTTATCACACCTGCCTGTGGGCACGCCCTTGCTTGGAGAAAGGCTGAAGTCACAGCCTGTTAATTATTTTTTTCTTTTTAACTAGTTTTGTTCTTTAAAAGCCTCATACGTGTATTGAGTGCATTCTGGTTGTTCCCAACACACGGTCTTTCATATCTTTAACTCCTCTGCCCAGCTACCTTCCCTACTAATTGCTTCTTTCACCCATCCGCATTTATGCCTTTTTGTTGTTGTTTTTGTCCCCTCTGGGCTTTACCAGTTCCGTCTCTGTGAACTATCCGTTGAAACCTGATGGGTTTACTAGGGTACCAAACTGAAGACAATGGGTATCCCTCTTCCAAGAGTCAGTTTGGAGCTGATAGTAGCATTAAGGGATGGGGTCTTATAAGTCCCTCTCCATCCATGACTGACTTTTGGAAGGGGCTGTCTTGTGCATGACCAGTGCAGATAATTATAGCAGTTCTGAGCTCATGGTTACATTGGCTGTGTCGTATCTTAGAGTCTAGAATTTTTCGGTTCTTCTCTGTCTTCAGGCTCATAGATTTTTTTTTTTTTTTTTTTTCCTGACCGTTTTCCTCAAATGTTCTCAAATCTTAGAGGATCAGTTAGGGCCAAGCTCTCATCTGTCACTTGTAGTGATATGGAACCTTTGGGTGTTTGCCCAAGAGTGCAATAGCAGGGTCTGAAAGATTTATTTATTTATTGTTATTTATTTGTGAAACAAGAGACTGGCCAGGAACTCACAGATAATCCACTTGCTTTGCCTCCTGAGTGCTAGGATTAAAGACAGGCTCCATCATGTTCAGCACATAAGGTATTTTTATTTCTAGCCTTTGAGAACCCTCTAGATTGATTTCCAAATTGGCTGTACCAAGTTACACTCTCACCAACAGTGTAAAAGAGTACCCTTTTACCTACAGCCATGATAACATTTGTTATTTGTATTCTTGATGGTGGCCATTCTGACTGGAGTGAGATCGAATTTTAAGGTAATTTAATCTGCATATCACTCATTGCTGAGGACGTTGAACACTTTTTAAAATATTTACTTTTTGTAAACACATCTTTTGAAAAGAGTTTATCAGTTGTAAAGCCTTTAAAAAAGTGTTTTATGGAAGTGTTTTTCCTGTATGTGTGTATGTATACCATGCACATGCCTAGCACTTGAGGAGGTCAGGAAAGGGTTCTAGATCCTCGGCAAATGTAGTTGTGGACAGTTGTGAGCCAACTGTATGGGGCTAGGAACCAAACCTGGATCTTCTGCAAGAGCAGCGAATGCTCTTAATTACTGGACTTTTACTCCAGTCCTACTTAGACCATTAAAAAAAATTTTGTTGTCTGTTTTCTTGATGCTTAGAGTGGGTTGTTTTTTTTTTTTTTTTTTTTTTTTGTTCTTGTATATTTAAGACACTAGACACTAATCTGTTGAATGTGTAACTGGAAAAGATTTTCTCCTATTTTGTGGGCTTTGAGAGCCATCCCACTTGTTGCCTGTTGGCCATATAGCCTGTGCTATTGTAGTCCTGTTTATAAAGTGCTTACCTATGTCTACATATTGAAGTACAGTCCCTACTCTTCCCTCTAGTACTTTTAGAATATCTTATCTTATGTTGAGGTTCTTCATTTTGAAGTTGAGTTTTGTGCAGGGTGACAGATGAAGAAGTTTCTTTCATTTTTATGTTGCTACCTGAGACTCCCAGCATTGTCATGACCTGCAGAGCTTTGGGATTGACATGATGGGGCAATGGGGGGGGGTGAAGAAACAACAGATATACTTACAGAAAAGCTGGTATCTGGTCAGCTGTTCTCTGCAGCTGAAACTCAGTGCAGTTACTATGTAGAGCTGAGTAAGGAGGTGGGTTGGATAGTCTTTGTAGGGAGTCTCTGCAAAGGAGCAGAGGAGGAAGATGTGGTTGATACTTTGCAAACACTGTCAGCATCCATACCCGGAACAGGGAAAGCTTTGCTAGTTCCCTGATCCTGATCTGGGGTAACTGTGCAATTGGAGTGGTCTGAGTTGCTGGGGTCCTTGGCATGGCCATGTTCATGTTACTAATACCCATTCATTCAAGACTTCATCGGCTCTCCCCCCACCCCCCCCAGCACCATTTGTTTAAGAGGCCCTCTTTTTTTCCAGTGAGGTGTTTGGAATTTTTGTCAAAAAACAAAAAAAACCCAAACCAACCAACCAAACAAAAAAACACATAGCTATAGTAGCATGGACTTATACTTGAGTTCTCTATTATATTCCATTGACCTACATGTCTGTTTTGTTCCAACACCATGACATTTTTTATTACTCTGGATCTGTAGTAAACTTGAAATCAGGTGTGATGTTCCCTCCAGCAGTCCTCTTTTTTGTTCAGGATTAGTTTGGCTGTCCTGTGTATATTTCCATATGAATTTTAGCATTACATTTATCATTTCTATGAAATATTGCTTGAAATTTTGATGGGGATTGCATTGAATCAGTAGATTGCTTTTGGTAGGATGGTTATCTTCATAATATTTATTTTCCAAATTTATGTGCATGGGAAGTATTTTCATTTTGTAGTATCTTCTGTTTATTTGGAGTCTTAAGGTTTTCACTGTACAAGTCTTTAGTGTCCTTGGCTAGATTGATTCCTGGGTTTTTGTGCGTTAGTGTCTTTGTACTTGAGTGTGTAGGTGTGTGTTATGAATGGGTTTAATATCCTTGTTTCCTTTTCAGTACATTTGTCATTGGTATATAGAAAGACTACTGATTTTTGTGTGTTAAATGTTTATATTGCCACATTGTAGCAAGTGCTTATCAGCTCTAAAGAGTTTTGTTTGTTTTTGTTTTTGCTGGAGTCTTTAAGGTCATTGATCATTGATCATTTGGACATTTCCTATTGATATCCCTTTGTTTCCTTCTTTGTCTATTACCCTAGCTAAGAATTCAAGCACTCTATTGAAGAGGAGTGTATAACATGGAAATCTTTGTCTTATTCATGCCTTTTATGTGATTGTCTTAAGTTTTTCTCATTTAGTTTGATGTAGGTTTATCATATATATCTATATTTCATATATATGATGAGGTATACTCTCTGCACTCCTTACCCTCTCCATGATTTTTATCATGGGATTTGGGTGTTAGGTTTTGTTAAAAGCCATCTTTATATGATAAATTACATTTATTTATGTATGATGAGCAGCTACGTATCTGTGGAATGAAACCAACTTGACCATGGTGAATATCCTTTTTATCTGAACTTTAGTTTATAAAATATTTTGTTTGTCTGTTTTATTTTGTTTTTTGAGACAGGGTTTGTCTGTATAGCCTTGGCTGTCCTGGACTCACTTTTTAGATCAGGCCTGCCTCGAACTCAGAGAAATATACCTGCCTCTGCCTTTTTGAGTGCTGGGATTACAGGTGTGTACCACTGTGCCGGTAATTTACAAATATTTTATTGAAAAGTTTTGCATCTGTGTTCATCAGAGAGTTGAATCTGTAATTTTCTCTTTCTTGTGTGTTTTTATTCATGACTTAGTATTGAAATTTGCTTTACAACTAAAATCTATGGCAAAGTTTAAAAAATCCATTATTTATACTTAATTTCCATTGCTCTTTTAATCTATTTCTGGGGGAAGATGCCTATTACAAAATAAAGTACACTGACAGCTGATTGGTGGGGTAACTGTATCCATGAGAATAGTAAATACTGCATTGATGTGGAAAGCAGGTGACTTTCATTTTCAGCATCACACGAAAGAGAATTAGTCTAATTCAAACAAGTACTGAATTGAGTATATTTCTTTTTATGTTTTATCTCTGGGTAAATGTGATTTTGATATAAAAATATACCAAATTAATTTGTTTTTAAAAGAAAATCCACAAATACATAATGAAGCTTGTGATATCTCTAAACAGTTAAGTAGTAAATCGGTTAATATTTGTGGTACTTTGAATGAGAATGACCCCTATAGTCTCATATATTTAAATGTTTGCTTCTCAGGTGGTGGAGTGTTTAGGAAGGATTAGAAGGTGTGGCCTTGTTGGAGAAGATAATATCACTGGGGTGGGCTTTAAGGTTTCAAAAGCCCAGATCAGGCCCAGTTTCATTCTTTCTTTCTCTCCTGACTGGATTAGCTCTCAGTTACTGCTCTAGCACACTACCTCCCTGCCATGCTCTCTGCTATAATGGAAAATGGACTGACCTTCTGAAACTAAACAGAGCCCCAGTTAAATGCTGATATAAGTAGCTTTAGTCATGGTGTCTCTTCATAGCAATAGAACAGTGATAAAGACAGTTTCATACCAGTGTTATGATTCTGAGCAAAGAAAAGGTGAAACGGAAATTGTGTTGTACTTGAAAATGAAAATGAGATATTAAAAGAAGAAAGGGATGGGTCTAAATACTATGAAAGCAGTTATTCACTGTAGTAGTAATTTCTCTGTATAACAAATACTCTTAACACTTATTTTAATAGCCCTTTATTTTGAATTGCTTGTGCCCATCCAGTTCAGAGTTGAAGTGTATATGTGTATATATTTTAACTACCAGCATCAGTTTTATGTGGTATTTTTTGAGGATCCAATCAGAGGAGGAAAACTATACCCAAATTGATAGAGGTTGGCGTAATGAAAAATGACAAGGCTCCAGCTAGTAGCTATCTGATGCTGGATAATAAATTACCCTGAATTTAGCAACCTTTAAACAATTATCTCACACAGCATCTGAGGCTAAGGAATCTAGATCCTCATAATAGCATGCT